GGATGGATGGGTGGATGGATGGGTGGGTGGGTGGGTGGGTGGGTGGATGGATGGATGGATGGATGGATGGGTGGATGGATGGATGGATGGATGGATGGATGGATGGATGGATGGATGGGTGGGTGGGTGGATGGATGGATGGATGGATGGATGGATGGATGGATGGATGGATAGATGGATGGGTGGATGGGTGGGTGGATGGATGGATGGATGGATGGATGGATGGATGGATGGATGGACGGACGGACAGACATATGGATGGTGGATGGATATGTTTGAGTAGGTAGGTGGGTGATAGAAGGATGGATGTGGGGAGCACAGGTAATGGAATGGGTGCCAAGGTTCATAGATGAGTGGGACATGGGTAACGCTGAGTGAGAGTGAGATGAATATCGTGTGCATCTGTTGGGTATCACCACACCCCTTATCTGTTTCCTACTAACAGCTCATCCCCCAGCCCCAGAAACCTGTGTTAAATGCTTATGTCAAAACCCCGTGAAAGCCTAGGTTAACCGCTTTCTGACTTCCCAGCACACACACAAGAGGAAGCTACTGCCGTCAACTTAAACAGCACAATAATAACTGGTAGCTGCATTCTGTCACAGTGTGAGGCCCTCTTGGCCATTCGACAGCCACTAGAGACTCTGCCTGACTTTAAGGTACTCACCTTATCAATGAAGGAGGCAAACTTGTTGTTGAGAATCTTGATCTGCTCCCGCTCCTGGGTCTTAACCTTCTGAATTTCAGGATCCACCTCCAGGTGAAGAGGCTCCAGGAGACTCTGGTTAATAGTCACCTCATGGATCCCCCCAGTAGGATAAGGAGGACCGAAACCCCCAAGTCCCAAATTGCCAAATCCAGCACCCCCGAAACCACCTCCAAATCTGCCACCTACACCATAGCCACCCCCAAAGCCACCTCCACCAAAGCTTCTTCCTCCCCCAAATCCTCCTCCAAATCCTCCTCCTGCCCCTCTACTCTGGCAGAAACCACTGGCACTTCGCCCCACTAGGCTCCCAAAGATGCTTTTACTGCCACCTAGATTGTAGAGACTCCTGGAACTGAACCCACCACCATAATCACCTCCACACCTCCTCGACTGACACACAGACACCAGAGCCTGTCTCCCACCTCCAAAGCCTGAAGACCTGGTGCTATAGGCCCTCCTGCTCCTTGAGCTAAATGCAGACTGAGAACTGAACTGGCGGCTCATGGTTGCTAGGGCAACCAGAGGCACAGATAGCAAGGGCCCAGCTGAAAGGAGGCAGAGAGCAGGGACTGAGGGATCTGTGACTCTCTTGGAAAGGATCTGGCTCAGCCCCTATATATACACACCTGCTGGGCTGGGTACTTTCCAAACCCTGGGAGGGGAGTATTTGCCTGCCAGTAGCATCTGCTTACAAACCTCATACCTATGTGTTGCTGAAATGGCATTGTAGACAAACTCCCCCAACTTGATCATTTATCATTCATCTCTTACTACGGGGAGACCGAAGGGTAGAAATCTCTCAGGATCTCAGTGTTGGGAACTCCTGTAGCATTTCTCCCTAAATCTCAAATTGATCTTTTCCTAAGAAGCAGCATTGAGTTGTTTGTTTTGGGGTGTGCCGGAGAGATCTAGGATAAAGCTATGAAGTGTCTAGTGACCTTGGGACCACAGCTGGGTTGAAAGTGGAGACGCTTGCTGTAACAGAGCTGTCGTGGTACACAAAATCTGTTGTTTTGTGGGTTTTGTTTATTTGTTTGTTTGTTTGGTATGCGTGTGCGCACATGCGTGCATGTGAACAAAATATCTTGTAAGCATCTCCCTGTATGAATGTCTCCTAGACTCAGAGGAAAATTACCCCAATATATCTTCTTCTATTCTAATATTTCTAAACTGACACCAACAATATTTTTTTTAAAAAAAAAAGCAAAAAGAGTAGCTATCTTTTAAGGGATATGTAAAAACCACAGGTAAGCAAAAAGCAAGCCTTAATTTGGAATTAGGATTATTATTTTTATTTGGTCAGCATAAAATTGTTCTCCTGGCAGAAACAGTGACAATAATAGTGAGTTCTTAAAGGGTTACTCTCAAATTCTGTACTTATCAGGGAGTAGTAGGAAAGGAACCTTGGGTCATGAATACTCTCTGAGAAGGAAGAGCTGTCCCCAGTAAGAGACCTAATGTGAAGTTCATGAGAGTCTACAGATGTTGTCCAACAGAAGTATATGTGTTTACACCTGGACACAAATAGCTGGTGGATTTCACCCAAAATGCACTAATAAATGTTGTGAACATGAAAAGAAAGAATAAATGCCCAGTTTCAGAAAAAAATGGTTAATGATTTGCCCACATGGACACAATTGTTTAAAACCAGAACAAAGTGCAGCAGGGCCAGGAAAGGTCATTATACAATGTTGCAGAGGGCCTGTGCTCTGCTCAGCATGGAGGAATTGCTCTCTTGCAGATTGCGGAACATTTTCTCCTAATGTTTTTAAATGCTCTTTTTCTATGTGTTCATGCAATAAATCTTTTTTTCCCCCAATAGTTGAGGCCAACTCCCAAGTGCCCCAAATTTGAGGCAGAAATCCCAAACAAATCGAGAAAGATCAGGTGGCCTGTGAAATCAAGAGATGGCTAGTAACAACTTTGGAGAGAAACATCCTACAGCTGGGAGTGTCCAGAGGGCTGCTGCCAGACTACAAATCTTATCACTTTCCACAGTGTTCTGAGCGTGGGAACTCTTTAATGGGTCATCTCAGGAATCAATGTGGACGGGAAAGTGAGTGAGCCTGAGATATGGAAGCAAACGCTCCGATCTCACTTTCAGACCCTGCTTCTGCCTGGCTGTTGTCATCTCAGACAAGCCACTTGCTCCAGAGCCTTGGATGCTACAGTTTTTCCAGACTCCATGAATTGAAGCATAGCAGAACATGCTGCAATACCCTCAACATACATGCATAGCTCCTTCTCTCCCTCACCCCTGTCCCATCCTGGTAAGCAGCTATGGTTTCCAACTCAAGCTGAGACAGTCCTGTACAAAACAGGTGGCCATCCTAGTTCTTCTTAATCTATTCCCAATCTTTAAAGTCCCAACCTCTAGGGACTTTAGATAAGACAGTGAAGCCAGGTCTCCCTGCCCCTCGCTCAAAGATAAGGAGAACGGACACAATGCAGACAGAAAGAGTTGATAATGGAATTCTGGAGTTTCATATGCATGATTAAGTTGCCGGAAGGCCAGGATTCTGAGTCAAGCAGAGACAGACACAGCAAAGAGAGAAAAAGGTCATCAGAGAAGTCAGGAATATTATGGCAGAAGCAGTGGTTGATGAAGGGATCCTTGCATAGAGCATCTTTAAACTTAACTTAGAAGCTTGTTCCCTTCCCCACCCCTTGGTTTGGACACTACCTCCTCAAGTCAAGTTTCAGACCCTTGAAACAGAGTAACATCAGCAAACAGCATGGGCTACTCCCATGATTGTGCTCCAATATGAAAGAGCAGCTGTCAGCTGGTCCAGTGAGTGGGGCTCCTTCCCTTAACAGCTTCAGGAAGCTTTCCCTAAGGCTAAAAACCATGGGAGAGCCTTGACCACTGCTGTGCTTGTCTGTGCTGCTTGCTCTTGTCCACTTCTCTTTATTCCCATATTCACACCCAACTAAATAAATGGTTCCATAATGTTAGAGCTAACATGGCCCTGGAACCCCTCCCTAAAAAGTGTCCTTCAGTTTGCTGGCAGAGGCTAATGGCAAAGCCCTGCCACTCTTAGTGAAAGCAAAGATTGACATGTAGAATAAGGAGCCCCCAAGGGGCCCTACATTTAGCCAGCCTCACCATGCCTAGCTCTGTGACTATCCTGTCTACTAATTACTGACTCCCCCTCCCCATCACTCTCTGCCTCCAGTGCTCTCCCTAAAAGTGGGAAGTTGATTTGTCCTCATCTGACTCCCAAACACTGAAACCCAAAGCTGCCAAAAGGGTGAGGCCCGGGCAGGTATCAGCTACCAGAATCACTCAGCAGCAGCTCGAGGGAGGGTTCGAGGGGGGCATCCCCTATAGATGTGCTCCCCACCTCAGTCAGCATCTCCCAGGGGCTGGAGGTGGATACAGCAGGGGTGGAGCAGAGAAAGGCCAGAGGAAGAATCGCACTAGCCAGTCCCCACCCAGTGAAGCACTGAGGCTATGGTGCAGGCTCACAGCTACGGTGCAGGCGCTGGGCTATGGTTCAGGCACTGGACTTGTGCTAGCTTCACAATCAGAGCTTTTGGACCTGTGATCGGCAGAAGTGAAGCCGTGGGGTGGTAAAGATGGAAGGAGAGCAACTGCTCCATAGAGCAGAAGCTCAAACCTTGGTTTCCCACCCAGCAGTAGCTACTGCCCTCTTACAAGTGTCAGAACTGGGCTTGAAGTGGTGGTCACCAGTCACTTCACAGGAGAAAGTGGTACCGAGAGAGGAAGATGGTTTATATTACAGAGAAGATCAGTGGTGCAGCTTCTCCCTCCCAACACAAAAAGAAAAAAGAGCCGATGAAGAAGGCCCTGAGTAGCCTCTGCTCCTTCAGCCTGGGAGACGGGCAGACTGAGGGCTATACCACTTATCTAGCAGGCCCAGTGACCAACAGAAGAAAGGTGGTATTTAGCACACAGAAACATCATCAAGGAATTCTCCTGATTTCTGGGTGAGTGTGACTGTTAGGTCATCAACTAATACCCCAAAGCATCCAGGATCTCACCTTTGAAACTCTGTTTGACTAGAACCCCAGGACCAGGCTGGGAATGAAGAATGAAGCGGTGTCCTCCTGCTTTGTCAACCTATGGAAAACTCTTAGTCCTAGAAGCCCCTATGAAGCCTCTGCACCCTGCAGAGCCCCAAAGCCCAGAGACAGTGTTGTTCTAGACATACTAAGGCTCTTCTATCCACCATACTGGAAACCCAACTTTTTAAATATCCTTCACCAAAGCTGACAGTCTTTTGTCCCTGAGGCAAAAAGAGCAGCTGGGCATGTGTGGGTCTAAAGGAAAATAAGGTTGCAGCTAAATTCCAAAAGAAACAGTAAGGTCCCAGCTGTGAGTCATGGTTGTTTAGGCAAACAACAGTTCCATACAGATCAAGTGGAATCAGGACAGACACAGGGTTGTAGGAGTAATGGAGTGGAGACAAGAACCCCAAATCCCTGGGATGAAGGATATAAAACATGCAGCAAATTCCGGGTTCATATGTCCCCTTGTCCTCATTAAAGAGACTATAGCAGTATACAAACATAAGTAATTAACTATTTTTCTTGCTCCCATTTAAAGAATAAGCAGGTTCCTGAAACAATGGTCATAAATACTATGATCCTTTATTTGGCTCTTACACTGCAAGAAGTGTATTTTGAGACAGAGTCTCACATGAACCTAGAGCTTGCCACTTCTGCTGGATTGTCTAGCCAGATGCTCTAGAAATCTGCCTATCTCCATTTCCCAAGTCCTGGAGCTACAGACTCACCCTACCACACTCAGCCTTTCAGGTGGATGCTAGGATCTGAACTTGAGCCCTCATGATTGCACAAGCCTTACCCACGAAGACATCTCCCCAGCTCACAGTTTTTGGAGGGGACAGTGTTTCTTGTAACCCAGACTGGCCTCAAACACTCTGTATAACTAAGAATAACTTTGAGTTTCTGATGCCCCTGCCTCTACCTTCTGAGTGCTGTGATTGTAGGCTTGTGTATGCCATGCCTGGCATATGAAATGCCAGACAGAACTGAGAACTTCAGGCATGATAAGAAGGTACTCTAGTAACTGAGCCACATCCCAAGCCATGCAACCACATTTTACTGATGACTTTCAGATGTGAGGTTGGAAGTGACCAAGCAGCCAGAAAGCTTACAGCCCCAACCCCAGATCTCACCTGGGTAGACTGATTCTAAAGCCAGATAGCACGCTTTCTGCTTCATAGGGTAAGATTTTAGAACTCCACTGCTGGAATCTGAGTCTTGACTCCACCTCATACAAATTATCTGTCCCTTTACAAGTTCACTAATCTCTCCACACTTCAGTTTCCTCATTTATAAAGCACAGGCACTGCCTATCTGGTGGGACTGGGAAAGTTGGAGCAGTTAAATCTTGAAAAGCCCTTAGCACAGAGCCAGGCAAATGACAAGAGCTTCACTTTAACAGTTACTATGTTGGTAAACAAAGCAACCCTCCAGCCACAAAATCTTCACCGTTTCACACAGTAACTTTAACA